CTTAAGGTTTTCCAGAAACCTTCTGAAAAACCTCAGAGCATCAGTGTTCTGCTGGATCACTTTTTCGGCGTGGTCAACAACATATGGCACCTTTTAAGCCTTTCCTGAAAATTTCCTTGAGTCAGCAAGAGATTTGATCGAGATATAAGGATTTTAATTTTTGCTAGTAACAGCGAAAAAACGGCTTATCGCAACAATGCCTCTGGCGAACTTATATTCATTTCTACACAAAAACAAATGTTGCTACTATGCTCAACGTAGTCGATTACCTATAGTCCATGGCATTTTGAGATTCCCAGAGATGTCTGCTCGGAGATAGACACGTGCTCGGGGAAAGCGAGCCCTGCCCGAACGACGCTAGCTAGAGCGCCGAGACTTAAAATCCCTTTTCCATAACATGTCTGAAACAGTCTTGGTAATAAATCTGATGCTGACGCAATTTCATCAATGTCTTTCATCACAAGTCGTTCTTTCTGCTGCGTGGTAGTGAAGAGTCACAGAGTTCTAGAAACCTTGTTTAGAGACCAATGAAAATTGTTTGAAGCAACCGTCTGAAAGAGTATCGCATGAAACCTATGAGCTACGTGATTCATGCAGTTTTGATCTACCACTTGAAAGTAGTAATTCGAGCTCGAGGTAAATAGTTTTTTTTCTTAATTAGAAGAAATGTCACGTGTACTCATCACCTTTTATATATGACACACACATATCCGTCCGCGTTTATTAGATGCACCTCAATATATACCTCGATATGTACCTCATCTGCTAGAAAAATCTTCGGGCTATTCAAAACATTATTCAGATTGGTTCCAGCTTTTACTAAAAGGTCAAAAACAAAGCAGTCCTTGTGATTATGACACACTGTACTGCTTAAATAACACCCAAAAGCTGCTTTTTCATATATTTAATGACTGGATCCCATCTGTCTGTATATTGTGACCAGCTCACTTGGTAGAGAATTTCAAAGGCTATCCAATGGTATGTTTCGAACCATACATAATTTCTCATTATGGCAGAAAAATGACTAACGGAGTGTTGAAAGCACCAAGATAGGTGAAAATCATTATATCGGCCAAGTATTTCAACTATTGACCCATGTGAGCATATTTTTGAAAGACTTATTTATAGTTGAAGTTCGTGAAATTCTCCATGGAATGGTATATCTATCGTAGTGGCTAGTTGAGAAACGTTGATCATAGGATCCTCACCATTGAACAACTCACCCACTTGTCATGACTTTGTGGAAAGTATTTCTAATGTCAAGGTGGTTCTCAGTTAAACTATGTTTTTATATAATTCCTCTATCCAATGCGCATATTCGAAAAAAGATTTGATTCTCTGAGAAAATCCTCTAAAATCTCTAAGCTCTGACTTTCAGTTTATTCAGCTCATGTTTCAATTAGTTAGTGGCATTTTTCTCTTACTGGAAAGTCGCTCAATCAGTCCACTGAAATGGCGTTGTGAGTTTGATATCGACTATATATTCTTGAGAGTATCAGTGAAGTTTTGAAAAATAAAAAACATCTGTATTCGCAGGTGGTGTGTATTGTACACCAAAAATTAATTAGTCACTTCTTCATTCTTTGTAAGTAGAGAATGGAAAAATAATAGAATGTAAAGGAGAAATGTTCTCCATCACCTGTGGTAGTGACGTTTGTTTATTGCGAATTTTATATTGCATGAATTATAAAATGATGATGTAACGAGTGATTTCACCGTGGTTGAGGCAAAAAGATGATATAAAAGACTCATTAGAAATCACAATCTACTCTATTCTTATTGAAACCACCGAACATGCCAAGTAGTCGTATTGATCCTTATTCATTGGTTATTGTCGATGTGTCACTTGATTGGGCGTTGAATGATATATACGATGATTTGGTGAATAAATATGGTGATGGTGTTGTGAATGTCAAACGAATGCATAATCGTGATAATCAACCTATACGCTCAATTTGTGTTGAGTTTGATTCCTCAGAACAAGTTGAGCATTTACTCGAGAACGGTCTTATTGTTATTTGGCACGAGAGAAAGAAGGTGAAAGAATATTATTTGCCGATGCTTTGTTTTGTGTGTGGCAATGCTGGTCATCGATCAAGTGCTTGTCCGATTGCTCAATCATGTAACAAACGTCAACGACAATACGATGTTGGGCAAATAGCATGGAGTAATAGTACACTAAGGAAAGAAAATATTTCATCTTCTATATCGTCGCCAATCGACTCAGAAACGACGAGTAATACCAGTTCAATTATACCACCTACAACGAGCATCAGCAATAATTCTGTCGACCGCCTACTTATGCTTCAAGCATCGAAATTTGAAAATATATTGAATGCATTGGAAACAAGAATGTCGAGTAGAATATCGACACTGGAAAAACAAATTGGACAATTAACTGACTCTCGTCAATAATACACTTTCCATACTCATTCGTTTTATCTAATCCAAATGAATGTAATGAAACAAATAACTATATCATCACATTAGCATATAATAAACAATAATTCACTTTCGTTCTTTCTAATTCTGAAAATATTGTCAAAACTAGTCTAAGAAGAATTCTTTTTAATACTAACTCCAAAATTTAAAACTGGCCAATCATCGTCAAATATCTGTACATAACCAACTACTAACAGTCGACGCTTCAGAATTATACGATTAGAGAGATGTTTGCCTTTGTTAAAGAGACAAAGTGTTCATTGCATTTTACTGGAATAAAAGAAAATCATATACTTCAGGAAACATCTAGTCAGAGAGAAAGTAACATGTTAGAATATCTACGTATGGTCTAGACAATATGTACACAATATTTTTCATTCAAAACTATCGTGATCCTTGAGCTCTGGGGTGATTCGGCATACTTTTGACAAGCACTGTAGAAAGATCATTCATCACTATAAGAATTTTGCAAGATAAATAGTCACACGTTCAATCACAGATCAATCAGTCATATATGGTTTTAAAGTCCAAGAAAATGTTTTCTGAGAATTATCAAACGAATTTATTAATGATTTTGATACGTGTATAATTAAACTTATTATTGATGATTATAATTTGTGTAGAACAGGAACCGTCATCATTAAACACAACCACAGTTGTGATAGCCACTACTATCCATTTTAAAATAATTTGAACTCTGCTGATTGTTACCTCAGCAATAGTTGATATAGACTTGAGATTATCGTCAGTTTGTAGTTTATCCATCTCAAAAGAAAAATTATTTCGAACTTCAAGTGTGATGTATCACATCCAGTAAAATTCTGGAAACAAGAGTTTTCAAAGATCCAACCAGACTTATTCTAAAGTCATGTATAAGCACAGCGGCATCTTTTTTACAATTCTGCGTAATTGGAGCTGATGTTATCGATCAAACCGAGCTTCATTTGAACATGTTGTTTCGAACTTTATTGAAAAGATTCAAATCTATCTAATGAGCATATTTGGTTTCCACTTTAAATGTATGTGACATGTATTTTTGAGAGACATTGTTTTATGTCTTTAATGAACACTTCTGAATATTCACATCAACTCGGATCGTAGTTTTAGGTTAATATTTGATCTAGTTCTTCTATGCATATCGACATTAAAAGTAAAACAGGCCGTTTGCAACGATACTGTTTCACGAATATGTGCTTATAAACATGCAAGAAAGATTTCAGATAATATTGTGCATAAAAAGGAAGTAATACAACGTATATCTTTATCTAAACAGTTATACTCCTTACTACCTTAAAAGAGCTGTGACTTTTGTCCTTTGAATGCGTAGATTCGGGAACATCTTCCTGCAAGAAAAAACATTTTGTTAATATTTCGGCGCTTGCTACAAAGGGCTTCCATAGCTTTGAATATATTCAGCTTATCAAGGCGAGTTTTCTTCGCATTTTGTTTGCACTTACAATAGAGGTGTTTGTATTGTAAGTTGAAAAGACTAGATATTTTTACATCAAAAGAAAGCGGTATACCGACATTTGAGCGCGCGCGACATTTGGGCGCACAATGTATTACACGACATTTATGCGCAACGACATTTATGCGCAACGACATTTGGGCGCACGTCACTTGGGCGCGCGTCGTTTAGGCGCAACGACATTTGGGCGCGAACGACATTTGAGCTTTAGAATTCATGTTTTAATACACATTTAGATCCATAAATTTATCTTTCATGATGTAAACCAATGATTAACCGACGGTTGAATACTGAGACTTGAGCTACCCGACACTTGGGGGATGCGGACAGTGAGGGTGAGGGTGAAATTTACTTTTTGTTAATGACTGATTAGTTAGTTCCATTATTCTCCGCATGCACAACTTAATTCGTTATGAACCGTCTGCAATATTCCCAAAGCAAACCAAGAAAATTCTCTTCTATAATGATAAGAGTTTCTACATGGTCGATCAGATAGTGAAAGAATAGACTTGCGCCCAAATGTCGTTGCGCCCAAATGTCGTTGCGCCTAAATGTCGTGCGCCCATATGCCGCGCGCGCCCAAATGTCAAACGTAACCTTGACGTTATTTTCAAACTTTCGATGCGTTTCTCACATCATCATCAGGAAAATGAACATAGAAAGAAAGATAACTGATTATATAGACTGTAAATGTAAGTATAAGACACAGAAATTAAGAGGAACAATTTTTGACTAGACGATAAAGAAGGGAACATGCAGACGACTCTATGAACATGGATTACCTAAAGATACCTATGGCTCTCAATCATCTCAGTCATTATCTAATATGAATTCATCCTCTATTATCGCATCAACACAATCAGTGAGAACAGCTCGAGTAGCTAAAGTAAAAGCTACTCCAAATAACTGAGCAAGTTAAACTAATGAAATCCTCTGATCGAAAGGTTCTCAATGAGATCGTTGATTATTCAGACACGAACATTAAAGATGAGAAGTTGCATCAGAAAAACACGATCCCACATTTTAAGAAGTCATTTTTTGATGAACAAATTTAAAAATGCTCATTTTTTGAAAATAAGCAAAAATTAGCATACATTCGAAAGCCACATCTCAACAAAGCAGAAATGAAGTTTTCGAACACAAGAAAAGTTGTCTATATTTATTGCTTTTGCTAAAATTCGAAAAGTATCTTTTTCTGATTCAAAAAATGAGTATTTTTAAAGGGGAAGTCCGCATAAGAACGGAAATCGGCCCACTAACAATAACCGCTCCAATCGGTCCAAAGTTCATCAGAATCACATCCGATTAACACATTCGATGATTTTGACCCTTCCGAGCACTTTCAGTCATATAACCAACAGAATCCACTTGAAACCGAGCAACGGTTTAGCACCAACAGTATGACTGTCAAATCAAAATCTCTCAGTAACCATTCCATATTAAGCCTAGCGCAATACATCATTCGATGCGCCACGAAAAGCTCTACAATATGTGTTAATAGAACGAAGCCTGGCAGTGACGCTTGTGAATTAAATACTTCGCGTTTAAACCGAATAGAACTTGTACATCATGTTCTGCTTTAATAAATTCTGCGAAAGATATGTAAGACTCGTGTTTTATACGTTTTAAAAGTTTCGTTTGTTTTTAACCTCTTAACAGGCTGATTTCACATTACAGCTGATATTACTACCCACATGATTTTGATTTCGCGTTTGGTCGTATATCTGGAATATATACATTAAAAAATAAAGACATGCTTGAACTAGAAAAGTAATTTATTAAAAAGTAGTTTATTTTCTGTACCGTAGTATAAATAAATAACGTGAATCGTATCGATTCACTAAGTCCATTGACTGTAAGTCGAATGACTGCCGTGTCGCGAATATTATTTCATTCTGTTGTGGCCCGATCTTATTACTACAGGATTGATGCGTATTTTTACGATGAGTGCTTGCACATTTTCCATCGTAGTTTACAGAAGTAGTTGCTATAACTTTTCACGGGTTAGAAATGTTTATCAGAATTTCTGTAGTTCATCGAGACTCTGTAATTTGATTTGTTTTCATGTGCTATACAGACCTTCGAAATGGACGAATCTACCAGTCTTCTTACCCTTGATAACAAAACCTGATTGGGGGCAACGTTTGGCCTAGTTCGTCGAAACAACGCTTACACCTCCCTTCGGTCGGTGTTCGCTAAGGACTATCTACCATGCGTTATAAATACTTCTCTGATATGATGTGTCACCTCGTAAAGTAGCTTCAGTCTATACAAGTTTTCTCCAGAGCACCCAAAGAACTCCCGAGGTTTACAAACACTTCTGAATTCCAGACAACGTCTCTGTAATTTGATGTGGTTTTATCTGACCCCCAAAGAACCCCAGAGGTCTAACAGTATTTCGAAATTCTAGACAATGCTCACGCATCCCTTCGGTCCGCGCTCGCAGCTAGGATAGGTGTTACAGGTCCCTGATTCCAGAGAAAACGTGAGCGCATCTACCCATGTGGATCTTTGTCTGTAACACTCATTAGTGCTTATGTGTATGTACGTCCGTCACACTTGCTGGTCACTATATGTATGTACGTCCGTCACACTGCCACATCACTATATGTATGTACGTCCGTCCTCGTGTGTGCTTACGTCCGTCACACCTCTGTACGGACAAACACACAAACACACACACAAACACTTTGTACTTTTTCGTATGACCAACTTTTTTTCGTATGACCATAGACTTACAGTCAATGGAATAAACGAGAGATTGTTGCTTTTTACGTGGTGAGTTTTTGAATTATAAACGATGCATTTCAAATGCGTTGGATGTTATCGAAACTTAGACGATAATTATCGAAATAGAATTTCTTGTAATCTCTTGCCATTATTTATTTCTTCTCGTACGTTAAAACGAATATGTTTGGGTGACTTTATCTGCAAAACTTGTCGATCGAAATATGATGGATGGGTAAGAAAGGCCAAGAATGACTTTAAGAGTTCCACTCAAGCAGCTCAAGTTAATGTCGATATTGATAATGACCAAAATAATTCTGAAGTATGTGCCTCACCACATTTGCTGTTGTATATGAGACCGTTTCGTCCTTCGTAAATTGTTTAGGATAGAAAAGAGAAAAAACGTTCCCGTGGCATAGCCTTGACCTATGAAAAAGTCTATTCAAGCACAAAAAGATTGGCCCTAAAACGCGGTTTTTTCCTTTTTTAACAATCGAAAAGCGCGTCAAAACAGTCTTTGAACACCTTAGAAAAGCATTACTTTTGAGTTAAAAACGTACATAAAAAGCATTTTCAAACGTTCTAGAACGCGTTTCAGATGAAACATTTAACGCGTTTGTTGATCGTTAAAACGGAAAAATGCGTTTCAAGATCAAGTCTGCAACTCCTGAATCGTTCCGGAATTATAGTTAAGTCAAAGGTGAGACTTGGCTACCCAGTGGAACTTGATCTAAAAACAGTTAAAAATCTATTATAAAGAAAGTACAATGATCTGAAA